GCCCAGCCCCGGCGCGGCGGCGGGTCATGGCGGCGGTGGGGTCCCCGCAGCAGCAGGTGCGGATGGCCCATCAGCAGGCCTGGGCGGCGCTCGAGGTGGCGCTCCGGGTGCCCTGCCTCTATATCATCGACGCCATCTTCAACTCCTACTACGACTCCAGCCAGAGCCCCTTCTGCCTCGGGTTCCAGATCTTCCTCCGGCTCCTCGGTGAGATGAGCCCGCGGGGCAGCGGCCCGGGCCGGGGTCCGGGTTTCGGGGTGTATGTGAGCCCCCGGGGCGGCGTCGCTCGGGGGGGGGGAGGTGCGCGTCCTGGCGGAGTGGACGGTCCTGCCCGCGGGTCAGCCCCCGCCGGGTGGACTGTCCGGCCGATGAGACGGGGAGGGAGGATAGATGTGCCGATCCTTGCCTGCTCTGTTCTCTTGGGCAATTCGTGGCTGGCTTTGCAGCGTCCCTAGCGACAGCCTCGGAAAAAAACCCCAAAAACAACCCAAAGCCACCAAGTCAGCCCCGTTCTCGCCATGTGTGACCTTGGACTTGTCGTGCCGGGGCCTCAGTTTCTCCCTCTCTGCATCACGGAGCCCTTGTGACCGTGCGGCGGCTGCAGTGAGTGACAGCTCGAGCGGGGTTTCAGATGTCAGACCTGGAGACCAGTACCAGAATTTGACAGGAAGGGATACTTAATACTTAACATCGAGGCCAAAAATTTCCCGAGAATAAACGAGAAAGGACTTGGGGAAGGGGGTGGGGGGGAGTGAACAGCTATGGATGGAAATGTGGCTAGAAGGAAATGAAAGACTTGCTCCAAAGAGACCTGCAAACGCGTGCTGCTGGTTTTCCGTAGGAAAGGAGTTTAAGAAGCATCTTCCCACTTCGCTCCCCATCCTCATCCACTCTTCTGGCTCCGCATTTGTGCATAAGAGAGTTTGTTAAAGAATTGAAACTTGGCACGTTTTGCTGATGAGGTAATTCTTGTGATCAGGACTTGGCACTTTTTTCAAGAGTTGCTCAGGGCGGGCTCGTGGTGAGGTCCTTCCCAAGTGTTTTCAGAATGATGAGCCATCTGTTGCTTCTCTATTCCTACAGAATCGGTGGTGGTAAATGCTGAATTTTGTTCTTAGCGGTAGTTAAGAGTGTATTTCTGGGGCACTTTTAACTCACCGTGTCCTCTCACTGGTATTATCTAACCTAACCTTTAAGGTGAGTGGTTGGTATTCTCATTTTAGAAATGAGGAAATTGAGGGTCACAGAGGTTAAGTGTTTTGCTCTTGGTTCACAGCCAGTAAGAGGTTGCCAGAAGCTGTGCTTTAAAATCTTTTTACATTGAGTCTGGTTCCCTTTCCTCTTCCATACAGTTGCAACCCAGAGGCAGAACGATCTAGTAACACTCAAACCTTAACAACGATCTAGTAACACTCAAACCTTAACATTAAAACAGTTATTTAAATGGCACGAGGCTTCTCAAGAACCCACCAGCTACTTCGTCCCAACCAGCTTGCCTGCAGAAGTGTGCTTCCAGCACTGTTTGTGGCAAAAATGGGTCTGCCTTTGACAGAATTCCAGGGTTTGTTCTGGAAGTAAGATAGCCACAGCCTTACATGTTCTTACAGCATGTTAAGGACATGCGCTCTGAGAAAGCCTTTGGGAACAAGTACTGTAATGCAGTGCTTGCTCTCAGAGTTGCGCTTCATGCTAGCATGTCTTAAGAAGAGAGAATTCTCCTTAATTATGTCATACACTGTTTTAAAAAAAACAAAAACATTAGAATTAGCTAGCTGGTTGTTAGGGTCCCGTCCCCCCCTCCCCACTTGCCACTTTAAAGAATGTGACCTCGGGCAAGTCATCTTATTTCTCTGTACTTGGGTTTTTCCTCACCTTTACCTTTTTAAAGATGACAGTGATGGTATCTGTCTCCTAGGGGTTTAAGACAGTAAAGGCATTGGAGTGTAAATTCTTAGAATAGTACTTAGAGCTGTAAGGGCTATTGTTAGCTGTAGCAAGCTTGATAGCTTTTTTTTTTTTTAAGCTTGATAGCTTTTAAAAAGGTTTTTAAGGGGAGCTCTGGTGACCTAGTGACAAGAAGCTGCATTGCAATCCAAGAAAACGCATGGTTCGAATCCACCAGATGCTCTGCCGGGAAAGGAGGGACAATCTCCTCCTGTACCAGTCAGATCTGATCTGACGGTACACACACTAATAATTTTAAAAAAAGGGAAAAAAAGGTTTTTACACATCAGTTAAGACACAGATATTTTGGTCTTTTAAAGACATCAGAAAAATGGAAAGGAAATAGACAACCTCTTGATCCCATGGTATTCTCAAGGTCCGACTTTATGAGAAACACAAAATATTTTCTAAACTGTTTCTAAACTGTTGTTGTTAAGGACCCTTTTCTACTAAGTTAGCTGGCTCCAGACAGACCCCCATGTACAACAGAATCAGACAGAGCCCCCACGTATGATAGACAGACCCTGTGTACAGAATGAAACACTGCCTGCTTCCATGCTGTCTTTACACTCATTGCTGTGTTTGGGCTCATTATTACAGCCAGTCTGTCAGTTCATCTCATTGAGAGTTTTTCTTTTTCGCTGAAAAAGAGGAAGCTTGATGCTTTACTAAGTATGATGTCCTTCTCCAGGGACTGGCCTCTTGTAACAGTATGTCCCTCTTAAGTGAGATGGCATGAGTTGGCGAAGTCTTGTCATCCTCACTTCTAACGCTGTCCTTCTTCCCAAACGTGTGTGTTCATCTGGCCGTCCATGGTATATCAGATACTCTTTGTTGAGACTGCAGAGTGTAAGTGTGGACTCTTCTTCAGTCTTCCTTAGTCATTGTCCTCATGTGCATTGCTTCACATGCATCTGAGGTAACTGAATAATACCACAGGTTGGGTGCCACAGGCCTCAAACTGACAACTTTTTAATATATCACTTTAAAAGAGGTCTTTTACAAAGCAGATTTGCTGAACGCTAATATGTTACTTGTCTTCTTGACTGCTGATTCCCTGGTACTGATTATGGATCCACATAAAATTAAATCCCTGTAAGTTCACATCTGTATTTATCATAATACTGTTTATTGATCCAGTTGTGAGATCTTTGTTTTCTTTGTCTTGAGGTGTAATCCATTCTGAACACTTCAGTTTTTTATCTTCATCAGTAAGTACTTCAGTATTCTTCACTTTTGAATGAGTCAGGTATTGCAGGTTATCAGGTAGTTAATAAATTGTCCTACTGTCTTGATGCCATATTCTTCTTAATATAGGTCAGCTTCCCAGAATATTCTCAATACAGATTGAAGGATGGTCAAGGGATACAGTCATGTCACATAACAAGCCAGCCACAAACTGGGAGAAAGGGATGAATTGCATTAAATACAGCAAAGACTTGCTTTTCAGATATTCAAAAATCATTTATCGAATAAGCGATAAAGACAAGCAAATGGGCAAAATATAAACTGACAATTCCCAGAGAAAGAAACCTGAAAGTTTAATAGAAATAAGATTTCATTTGGGTTAAAAGCAAAGAAAAAAAAATTACAAATATTACACACACACACACACACAGAGACATATATTTCTTTGTACACACATGCATATTTACATAAAAATAGTTTGTCAGGATGCACAAGAAATAGAAAAATGATTCTACTTCTTTGTTGTCAGTAAGATAGGGAGGGCAGAGACTAGAACATTTGATAAATTCATTATCAGGTCTCCTTTGGGGTTAAGCATCTTCATTTTTTTTATTCTAACAGGTAACGGAAATGTTTTCCACTGCTTGCTTTGGATTGTTTTAAAAGTATAAAGAGTTAAAAACATTACATTGCTTTATGTATTTTAGGTTTTGTTTTTCAAGAAAAAGTTTAATTGAATTTACACATAAAAGGTAATACTTTACTGTGTAATAGACTTGATAGGTCTCTTTTCCTGGTTGGTTTATATTCAAATGGAAAAGACACTGAACTTTTCATGAGTTGGATTCTGTGTAGTTTGCAGGCTCCTACAATGACTTGATACGGCCGCTTTCACTGTCTTGAGAGCCTTAGGCAGGCTCTATCACCCACTGCTGACAGGGTTGCCTGAGCTGTGATTGTAGCTAATCCATTCTCCAGTGTTCCTAGGTGATTTTTCTTTCTAAAGCAGCATTTATATATAGCCTTGATTATTTATGTAGGTCACTCTTAAATCCCAAGGAGACACTCTCTCCCTGTGGTTAATTTCCTTAGGCCTACAGGATAAACACTTAAGAGTTTCATATCTGAAGTTGTGCAAATGCAACGGAACTTTGATATTGTTATTATCATGTACAGTCAAACCAAAATTGACTCATAGGGCTGCCCCTCAGCAGATTTTAGAGGCTGTACATCACATGGGAGGAGATTGTCCATTTCTCACCCAAAGCATTTGATGGATTCGAACTACATGTCTTTGGGTTGGTAATGCAACTCCTTACCACTAGGCCATCAGTGCTCCCTACAGACAAGGCTAGATGTGTCTCAAATTAAAAGCCAAACTCACTGCTGTGGAGTTGATTGCAGCTCACAGTGACCCTCCCATCTGGTGTCCAGGGCTGTAAGTTACGGAAGGAGAAAGACTACCCATCTTAATCCCCTGGAAAACTGGTGCATTTGAACCATGACTTCATTTAGCAACCCAGCACATAACATTCCTAGCAAGTAAAAACCTGATAGTAATTCTGATTAAATTTAAGTTACACTCAAGAAGAATAAATGAGCAAACATGCCAAGAACAGTATAAAATTGTTGCAGACAATTAAAAGTTGAACGTCTTGACATTTTCTCTTAACACTCTATATTTTTTTCACTGTATCATTTGACTAGTGTAGTGTATCTTTCCCTCCTTTTTTGGATATGCTACACTTGCATAATGTGGAATTATCAAAAAAGCATTATTAAATATCACATGTAGGTAAAATCTTGCTGAAGATTATTAAAAAAACAGCTGGAACAGTACAATGACAGGGAACTAACTGCTAGAAATTCAAGTTCGATTCAGAAGAGGTTATGGCATAAGGGGTTTCATTGCTGATCTCAGGTGGATTTTAGCTGAAAAAGAATGCCAGAATGAAATTCACTTGTGTTTTATTGATTTTGCAAAGGTATTTGACTGTGTGAATCATACCAAATTATGACTAATGTTGAGAAGAAGGGGAATCCCAAAATGCTTAATTGTGATTACACAAAACCTA